TTGTGCCTTTCTATCAAGCTCAATGTGACGGCAATTCACTGCAATATGAGTATATGTAACGTCGCGTGTATTACTTTTAGAAAACTTGATATCAAAAATACACCGGCATCGTTCGCGTTAGTCACGGTGTTGTTTGGCGTGTCTATAAACAATTGCCACATTAATGAATGTATTAGACAGTCTGACGTGTATCTAGTATTCTCAAATTAAGTCACCCACATGTGTTACGTGTTATCATACAGTTACTGGTCACTGTATTGAGAGTAGTTAAACCTTATTGTGTAGGTATTAGTCCGTTGACATGTTTGCTATGTGACGTCACAAATTAAGTCTCGATATATGGATTTTTCCTGTTTATGCCATTTTGATATTGTCATTTTGTTTTTGTCTATCGGATAGTGCTGTTTTTGTTTGTATTTGTAACTTTATTGATTCCACACCAAGATCCCATACGGTTTCAATAATGATAATTATTATTATGTGGTTTGTGGGGGGTGTTGATATAAATTACGTCAATTTATTAAGCGTACTGTCACCATCAAATATAATGAAAATCCGATTGAACGCTAGTCTTCGACAATTCAATGGCAACGCGGTGTACAGGGTGCGGTCTATGATTCGCCGCGGCGTACAGGATGCGGTCTATGATTCGCCGGCATGGCAAATCTTGCCTCAGTCAATCATTGTTACATGAAATCAGAACCACTCTGATTGTATATATCTTGTACATGCCTCGGTAAACTCATTATCTAATTCCTGTTTCTAAATTTCATCTAAAATTAAAGCCATATAATGATCAGAGTCCATTTAGTAGTCACCCCAGTACTGTGGGTATTCATTCAAACGGTGGCAACAGGTGGTGGTGAACGTTGACGTCGTTCGACAACAAAAATATGCCGTCTAAAGGATGTTCTCGATTTAGGAAAACTAATTCCTAAAAGGGTGTGTCAGTCAATTGTTGAATGTTTATGTTCCCGTGAACAAGTGAAGAGTTGGTTACGTGTCAGAGGGCGGTCGATTAAAACGTCGACTTTACAAAGTACCACAGTAAATTATCCAACAAAACTATATACATAATAGAAGAAAGCCAAAAGGTCAATTTGAAACAAATGTGGTATAAGACCAACAATAGTGGCCTTGAGACACGATTACTTGTCGTATTGTGTGCACAATTTGACAAATAAGTCCAATTCTACCCAAAAGCGGATTTCAATCGTAGAAACGATACTAAGCACAGATATTCCGGTGTTTCACTTGAGTGAGTATGTATTGCTGCAGGTTCGTGACAACAAGGTGAACACACTGTTGGCTAGATTGATAGCAACAAGGTAAACTCACATCAAATAACACGCAGGAATTTTTCACTATAAAAATCTTATCTCCACCATAGAAAAAATAGGCAATTTATATAGAAGAGTGTGCTATGACGTCATCATCATCTGCACAGTCAGGTATATGTCTACAGTGTGGTGTCGATCAATGTGGGTATTCGGTTATAAAGCATCCCTTTGTAGCCGAACTGAAGGCGTACTGTGTGGACGGCCGCGGCGATTTGGTGGCGTGCGCGAGCGTCGGTTCAGTTCTCGACCCGTGAAGTGAATGTTTACTTTGCTTAACGTGGTATTTAACTATGCCGTTTATTCTGTGTTATGTCTCTGTTTTACTTCTACTACAGGTTCCTGACTCCTCGTGAGATTTTATCGATTATTGTCTTACAAACGCGCCCATAAGTGGCCGGTATTGTTACGGTGGCCTCATTATTGACTCACACACCTCATAACATAGCCTCCAAGCCAATAACTCACACAAGCTTCCATACTGCCAATTCACTGGAACACTTGTTTACTATTATGGTGTAGTGAATGCAATATGAACGTGACAGAAAATATTCAAGCGCGTGTAGTGATAAAACTCACCCCCTTTTTCGCATTGACAGTTTTTCCTTATGCATTCTAGTAAAATCATACTGGAGCACATGGGATTGAAAATTCTTTGCTGATTATCTGAAATACAATTAAAAACACACAATACAAATGAGTATAATAATCAGATGAACTCAAAACACTTGTTGATTTCAAGAAGCCACCCTTGTTAGTATAAGTTGAGACCACTGAATGAACTAGTGGTCTGAGTTATAAGTTGGCCATCATATCTCATTGCCGAATTAACAATCGAATCTATATACAAACAGTGTACATTACACGAGCTGAGTAACAATGTGAATGCAATGCAGGGGGAACACGGGCTACGGGGGGTCGGTCGAATTCAGTCACGCCTCGCGTTATGGGGGGTTAAACAGTCGGCCTTTAGTAAAGAGCTGCGTAAACTGACACTTGAACATGTTGTGTAAACAGACGTTGTTGGTGATGCTATATTATTAAAGACTCTCTGACTATTCTACATTATATTGTTTCGAGAGTTATCGACGTGGAAGTGAAAACCAATTTCATAAAACAGCGAACCATATGCATATGTTACTTATACGGACTGCATTGTTTGCGCGCTGCTCAGAAGAGGACACAGCTCAGTGACTTGGAGGCTCCAGTCAACCACATCACGATGGACCGCCTGACAGGTGCCATCGTATCGGGACGTAACATTATGGTGTTACCATAGATAACCGGAACCCTTTCCCAGAGTTAACTACTTACCTCCGTATTTAACTGTTATAAACGTCATTCTGTAAATCGGTCAAACACTGCCGGTTCCCCTTTATAACATCTGAGCCATTCGCTGGTGTCGAGTTGCTGGAACACACTAGGGTGACCGTCTCTTTTTTGCCGCGGGCTTGAATAATGGAGGTATTGTACAATCTCCGGTATCTATGCTGCGATGCGAGTATCTGTGTCGTATGTAAATCACTGTAAAATATAAACTGGAGAGTGGTAAGGGACGTGTCAGATGTGAGCATATTTGCATGCCCACTGAACGCTGGCTTTGTCACTGTTGTAATCCCCTCCGCTATTGTGCTAATGGTATTCATTTGTCGATCTGACTCCCGTTGGGTATCATATACTAGCTAGCCAATCATCGTTAACGAAGTGATGCTGTATGTGCACCACAGTACTGGGTTAGTGTATCAAGACGAATAAGTATCTGTAAAATTAACGATATCAAGAAGAACTGTCAAAAAATTGAAATGCAGCGAGATTATAATAAATATATTACATATGCGATGTTTGTTATAATACAGCGACGCTGATTGGTCTAAACCTGGTACACTGCCCACTTCTTCTATTTGGTCTTTGATTAATAATTTTATGACATATATAAACCTTCATATTTGATATGCCGTATATTGCTCTCATGTGTTGACAACTATAAATTAAGTTATATGGCAGTTTCTCCAATTAAATTTGACAGTGAAACACCATGACGTCAATGCAAATATATCACGGGACGTGACGAGTATTTAAGGGGATCACTGGAACCCAGTAAAATATTGAATTACATTTATGTACACTCAGCTTTTTAATATATACTATTACTAGCACTACTAAGGCTAGCAGTGCTTCAGGTGACCTTTCGTTTACTTTTAAAATATTTGACCCCTGTAGACTCATTATTTCATCATTAATTCGCCATATATTCCCCGTTTATATATTATATATATATATATATATATATATATATATATATATATATATATATATATATATATATATATATATATATATATATGTGTGTGTGTGTGTGTGTGTGTGTGTGTGTGTGTGTGTGTGTGTGTGTGTGTGTGTGTGTGTGTGTGTGTGTGTGTGTTGGTGTAGACGTAGAAGTGGAGCCTGTAGACCAGACATACACAAACAAAGTGGAGCCCTTTGTACAAGTGG